TTTTTCGACGCGACGCTCACGATTTACCACGCCTCAGAGAGAGAGAGAGAGAGAGAGATAGGAGGGGAAAAAAAAACTTCACTTCTCAACTGTCCGTTGTTGATCGTCAACACGCCAAAAGCCAAATTCTCACTTCCACTCACCGGTTCTTCTCCACTTACTATATATATAAGCTACTAACAGTTTTCGTAGCTATCCCACTTCTGACTTGTAAGGAGAAAAGTTGCAGTGAGACTCAAGTCAGGATATATATTAAAAATCTGTTTATATATTTTAATGAACTGTTGGTTTGTTACACTATGTAGGCTTTTTGGCAGCTCGCACGATCGCAGTCACTCTCTCTCACACGTTGTCGTTCTCTCGACACACGAGACCCGAATGCCTCATGCTTGCCTCTCTCGCCTCGACACTCTCGTTAGAGTGCCAGGAGCCGCCACGCCGCGTCGCTGCGCCCGCTTCAGCGTCTCGTTGTCTCGCGACTCTCGACTCTCGACTCCCATCACAGTCATCACATATCATGCCTTGTTTACACATACATATCGCAACGCAAGTAGCGCATACACACACGCACACAGTTGCCGTACATTTGTATAGATCAGTTTAGAGTAGGTAAGTATACATATATATTATAGGAGTATAACACAAGCCCCTATTAACTAATGACCCAGGGCGCTTCCTAGCTATACTCTATAAAACAACAAAATGTTGCATAAAAACACAAACGCCTATAATCTGATGACCCGGGTCGCTTACTGGCAGCTCTATTCAATGATGAAATATTAATGAATAACATAAGTGCCTACAACCTGATCACCGGAGACGATTACTGGCCACTCTATATATAATAAAATGTTAAATAAAAACACAAGCGCCTATTACTTATGATGACCTCAAGTGCTTACTGGTCACTCTAATGAATAATCAAATGTTTAACAGTAACACAAGCACTTATTTTTTCTAGTGAAGCGGGGCGCTTTTACTGGCCTCTTTATTGAATAATTGAATGTTAAATAATAACACAAGCGCCTATCACCTCATGACCTAGGGTGCAGCTTACGTGCCACTCGATTAATTAAATATATATAAATGTTGAACAATAACACATGCGCATATTACCCAGTAGCCCTAGGTGCTTATCTGTCAGTAGCTCTATAAAATAATAAAATATTAATTGATAACACAAGCCCCTATCACCTGATGGGTGCTTACTCAATACCCTACTATATAATTAAGTGTTAAACAACAACACAATCGCATTTGACATGGCGACCCGAAATGCTCAGTGGCAACTATATTAAATAATAAAATATTAGCAATGACACAAAAGCGTCGTTGCCCTGACGACCGTGAGCGCTTAATGGCTACTCTTAAAAATAATAAAATGTTAAACAAAAACACAAGTCCCCATCACCTGGTGTCCTGGGACGCTTACTGCCCTTTGATTAAATAATTGAATGTCTAATAATAATACAAGTGCCTATAACCTGATAACCTGTGGCGGTTACTGGCCAGTCTATTAGATTATTAACTGTTTAACAACAACACAAGCTCCCATTATCCAGTGACTTAGGGCGTTTACCGGCCTCTTTATTAAATAATTAAAAAATAATTAATAATAATAGTGCCCATCATATCATGACCCGGGGTGCTTACTAGCCTTCCTATTAAATAAATTAATAGTAAATAATTACATAAACCCCTATCACGTCTGATGATCTGGGGCACTTGTGGCCGCCTTATTAAATGGTTTAGGGTAAAATATTAATAATAGCGCCTTTTACCTGATGACCCAGGGCGCTAACAAGCCTCTCTATTAAATAATTAAATGTTAAATTAATAACACATTTAACCATCACCTTGTGACTTAGAGCGTTTACTGGCTTCTTTATTAAATAATGAGAGTTTAATTAATAACAATAGCGCCTATCACCTGATGTCTTGTTGTGCTTACTGGCCATACTTAATAAAATATTTTAATGTTAAATACTAACACAAGCACCTGTTACTTATAAAGATCATACATTATATACATAGAAATACCAAACTGATAAGAGTGGATAATATGCGCTTTGATCTGTGTCATTGGTAGGGCTTGAGAAGCAGTAATTAATAAAATAAAAGTATAATGTTATCATGTTTGAATCAATCAAAAATATGACTTTATTAAGTGTTTTCATATGAAAATTCAAGATATCGAAAACTTAATTTATGACTTCTAAGACACAGCGTCTAAAAAGTAAGCTATTATGAATATTTTTATTTTTTTCCTATTTCTTAACAAATTATCAATTTGGTATGAGACCGCCCCTTATATTGCATTTACACGTAAAACGATTTTTTCTCTTTCGATTTCGATATTTCGAAAATACATCGAGAATCGAGATAGAATTTTTTTTTTATTTATTCCCTTATAATATGTATATATAATAGGTAGGTACTTTTTTTTTTTGTAGTCGGTCGGTCGATCCGTCGGTCCGATTCCTCTAGAATGTATTTCTGTATAGAGTGCGTTCCGTAAGATCCAGCAGTCATCTTCAAGTATCTCGGTATCCTAGATGACATTTAAGTGCAAGAGGAAAAGTATGTTATCTTTCTCAGACTAATAAGTTATTCACACATTATCTAAATACTTAGATTAAACGGCCAGTGTTTACGGAACGCATCCGTACATAGTGAGTGTAGGTGTACTTTCTCGAGGAATTGGACCGACCGACCGAACTCTTTATTAAAACTACTCTTTGACAAGCTACAAAAATCGTAGTTCTGCCGTTATTTTTTAAAATGATAATAAAGTTTTCTAAAATAATCAGCTGTTCTTCAGAACATCCCCAGTATCTTGCTTCTAATCTTTTAGAGTATCCATCAACATCATCATGGTGTTGTGCCAATTCAAATGAACTAATAGCATCTGTCGTTTTTCAATTAGCTGAATCTTCGGTAATAACAGGCTTGGAGGTCGGAAATTATCAGTCATGTATCATAGTTGTAGAAGCTTCTACCTCTAAAGAGCCTGACAATTGGTTGCCAATAGTTAACCATCAGTTTTTAACGCACGATGAAGCAGCAAACAACAAATTCAAGGATCAAGTTCAACTCTTTTCAAAACGAAATCTGAATTTTGATATAATCAACAAAAGATTTGACAGAGTCAAGGTTACATGTATGCAGCCAGCTAATCCAAGAGTGCTATTTGGTTTGAAATTCATTTACTGTAAGTCAGAAGTAATCGTGGATTTAAATTTAGATGTATTTGGACGCTTCAAATTGAAACACGAGGACAACGACAAAGTAGAAGAATTGAAAGAAACGAAATTGAAACTTTTCCATAACAAAAAAGTTAACCAAGATGAGTTAAGGGAAATGATCAATAAGTCAGGATTAAGCAAATTTAGGAACAAACTAGATACAAAAAATACTTTTGATAATAATCTAATTCTAGGAAAATCAAGTGTAGGCACCAGATCATGTTCTAGTATAGCGGGTAATAAATTTTTAATTTATTTAATTATTCAGATAATATTGTTAACTATTTTTTACTTGAATAGCTACTCTGTTGAATTAAGAAATGATTTTAATTTTAAGAAAAGTATTCAAAGTCCTTGTCACGTTTAGATTATTATTATTAATATTATCATTATTAATGTTATTATCATTATTACTATTTAATCTTGAAAGCTTATTAATAAACGTTAGCACTGTAGTACGGAAAAAAATGTTTAAGAACAATACAGAGCCAAGTAATAATAATTTCTCTTCAGGTCCGTTTACAACATCAAATAGTTTGTTTTCTAACGATTTTTTGTTGAGTAATAACAATCATTCAATACTCTCAACAAGGACTTTATTTGGAGATTTTGTCTCCACCTGTGATCAAAAGGTAAGAAAAATTAATAATGATAGAAGCTATCAAGACGTTTTTACATTGAAGAAATCACCACTAAGTACTAAAAAAATTTCAGTTTACTAATATATCTCCAAAAAAAACTTGCAATGATTTTTGTGGCTTAAAAAATGATGAGTTATGTAACACTTGTTATTTGTTGTCCGTGCCAAGACAAAGATCAAAAAACAGGATTGGAGTTAAAAAAACAATTCAATTCAGTAAGCTTCTCAAAGATGTTGTGTTTTCTCTGAGTGGTTATGTCAACCCTCAAAGGGACGAAATTAGAAGAAAATTGCTGTTAATGGGTGGAAAATACAATGTTAATCCTAACATAACTAACAATAAATGCACACATTTAATATGTGCTTTTCAAAACACTCCAAAAAGTCGAAAGTTAATAGGACACACTAAGATAGTTAATCACCAATATATTGAAGATTGTTTTAATCTGAAAAAAAGGTAAGGAATAAAATTCAAAAGTCGTATGTTTAAAACTTGCTAGCATTAAAATTTGTTTTCTGAAGATATTACTGCATCCTATCATTTAAACAACAGTTTCTTAGAGTGCTATTATTCAACGAACAACTACTACCTAAGTACAAGAATAGTAAGTAGCACTTCTGAATAGGTTTGTTCAAGCCAATTCTCGGTGATACTCAGAGAGACTTTGGGAGTCTCCGAGAATGGAATGAACAAGTGTACTTCTCCAAGTGTCTCCGAGAGACTCTGACTCAGTGCTCTGATATCGAACTGAGGACTCGTGCACACTTGTCTCTTACTGGCCGAGCACTTTCGCGTCGTTCAAACACCTCAAACTTACAGACCCAGCGCGCAAAGCCCGAAAACATCAACCCAAGTACTTAAAACCCAATGACCCGGCGCGCTTACTGTCAGCGCGCTTGGTTTTTTAAATAAATTATTAACTCGGGCAGCTTAATCCAATGAACCGGCACGTTTACTGCCAGCGCGCTAGTTTATTCAAATAAATAATAACTCGAGTGGCAAAACTCAATGACCCGGCGCGCTTATTTTTTTAAATAAATTATTAACTCGGGCAGCTTAACCCAATGACTTTAAGGGGGCTCCAGCGAGCACTGGTACCAACCCGAAAATAATTGGGTTAGTTGGTATTACTGCTGTAAATATATATATATGCGAGCAGGCGATCAAATATGCCAGGTACAATCACATTTACTCACCCGAATCAGTTTTTTGTTCAAATTTATAATTTTCCTGACTAGATTGCAGCTTTCGACGGAGAAACTTTTTTCAACGCTCATATAGTTCCAACGGTTCCAATAAAACCAGCAGCATCAATGATAACTGGGTTGACCGTGAAAAAAGGCGAATTATTTCATAGGGGAAAAAAATTAGTAACAGTATCGAGAGAATCAGCGATATTAGGTTTTGTGGAATATATCGAAAATTATTCGAAACAAAATGTGACTAATGTAGTTTTAGTGGGACATAATGTTATAAAGTAATTAATGTTTAATTTCATAACTCATGCGCACGTGTACGTACATATGTAGATACAACTTAATCCATTTTTTTTCTTGTAGATTCGACGCTGTGCAGATAAAAAAATTGACTAATCAATTTCAGTTGCATGATAGATTTATGAAATCAGTCTTTGGGTATTCAGACACGTTAGCAATTTTCAAGAAAAAATTACCAGAGAGGGTGAAAGCTAAGCTGTCTTTTTCTGCAGAAGCTTTAGCCAAAGATTATTTACCTGCAGAAAGCGCAGAAAATTTACACGATGCTTTGCAAGATGTAAAAACTTTGAAAGCTCTAGTCGATGTCTTACGCGTCTCTGAAGAAGAAATCATACATCACTGCAAGAGTCACCAAGACTTGCAGGATGCTGACATGATTTTACAACAACAAAAAAAAAATAAAAAAATAATTAATGATGACAAACAAAAATTAAGTGTATTAAAAGGTGTTGTAAATGATAAGATAATTTATAAAATGACCAAAGAATCGATATCAACAGAAGTATTAGTAGATGCATATAAAAAAGATCCTACAAATGGTATCAACTTATTATTGTCAATGAGTGTAAATGATAAAGTTAGAGTTACTTCGAATGTTAAAATTATTGACGCAATTTGTGATAAAATAAAAAATAATTGCAGTTAATATTTTTCAATCTTTTCTTTTATTTCCCAAAAAATCAAGTGCAAGTAATCCATATGAAAACACGATTAAAAAAAAGTTACAGATAACATACGATTCCTATGTAAGTACTTGCAGTGTTACTCTGAAATATTCAAAAGCGCGCGCCTTACGTCTCTACAAAACAAAAATGGCGTCTCGCCATGACCCTGCTAAAACAATGACTTGATCAATACTTTTCGAAATATCTCAACTGTTTCCACGGTTACATATATTTTTTAAGGTGCCATCTGAAAGCTGAGATTATTGTCTATAAAATGCTTACTGTCCCGATTCTTAACTCCTCGGTTACGGTTAGAAATTGGCGATGTTTTCACGTGACTCCATAAGAGGTTGTGTATAATGTGCGAACTTTGAGAGCAAATATCTCCAAATTTTCCACGGTTAGAGGGGTAAATGAGGACACCGTTGGAATCAGCGTGTTTTTATCTACCAATTAAGCTACCTGTGACCTCCTAACTCCTCCCGCTGGAGCCCCCTTAAATAAACTAACGCGCTGGCAGTCAGCTCGCCGGGTCATTGAGTTTTGCCACTCGAGTTACTTTTTATTTAAATAAACTAGCGCGCTGGCAGTAAGCGCGCCGGATCATTGAGTTTTGCTACCGGAGTTAATAATTTATTTAAAAAACCAAGCGTGGTGGCAGTAAACGCGCTGGGTCATTGGATTAAACTGCTCGAGTAATTATTTATTTAAATAAATTAGCGCGCTGGCAGTAAGCGCGCTAGGTCATTGGGCTTAAAGTACTTGGGTTTATGTTTTCGGGCTTTGCGCACTGGGTATTTAAGTTTGATGTGTTTGAACGACGCGAAAGTGCTCGGCCAATGAGAGACCTCCTGTCGCACAAGTGTGCGCGAGTTCTCAGATTGATATCGGACTGACTGTCCCCGAGAATGTATATGCACACATTAGGTTAGATAAGTACAAAAAGTAAACAGAGTGTCTGAGTGTTAGAGTAAATCTACACAGGATTTTAATTTATCTAACCTAACGTGTGTGTATACATTCTCGGGGACAGTCACAGTCTTTCAGAGACACTTGGAGAAGAACACTTGTTCATTCCATTCTCGGTGGCTCCCAGACTGTCCCCTAGTCTCTACGAGAATTGGCTTGAACAAACCTCATGTGTGTATGGGTCATTCTATGAAAAACGAAATATTCTAAATACCGTAGAATAGGCTGAAGAGAGGTTTTGAATTTGTCTAACTGTTAGACGTCGTTTATTAACTTTTTTCAAGGTCTATACATTTGTAGATAATGTGAATCATGGTAGTAAAATTGAAGAACAAAAAAAAAAACCAGTGGACAGTGGGTGCTTGGGTATCCAAGTAAGAAGTTATACTTCTATAAAATTATATGGCAGATAATGTAATTATAAATATAAATATAACTTTTATGAAATGATATTGTGTACAACGGAGGTACAATTGTATCGATGAAATGGGTATACATATGTTAGTAGGGTGTGGTTTAAATAAATATTTTAATATTTAATAACTATACAATTATAAACAATATATTATGGCATAATACAATGTAAACAATATGGAGGCTGGCCAGTACAAGACTGCACTTTTATCGAATCTTCTGATAGTTTCAAAGCTAATTCCTACTGCCTACGCTGATTACACATGTAACGTCACGCTCACACACTTATACCTAGTCCATATTTAATATCCAAAATATAATTGTATCTCAAAAATTAAGACAAACCATCATATATTACCTCTGCTTTCTTTAATAGCATGGTCGCACATGCCAGTGAATGTCCCTTCAGGACGTTCACCACACATAGGTTTTTTTGACATATTATTCAAGCATCAAAAGTATACTAAAAATACTATAAGAAATACTCAAAAAAAATTGTAGATCATCCAACTGAACCCACTGTCACGTGTTTAATTTTAAAAATTTGTAATTTAACATGTCACCTTCACTTTTGGAAAAAATCACTTAAAATTGCATTTATATAAGATCTGTATAAACCCCCAATTTTTGTTTGTATTAATGAAAGATTACTTTAAGATGAACCTGTTTCATTTTGTACTAGATCTATTTTTATATACTAATAGATCTATTTTTTATTTTTTATTTTTTTTTTTAATACAAAAAAGGAGGGGTCAAATATGCGGAAAAGAGTGTATGTAAGTTCATCCATATAAGAAAAATAATTTCCAGCATTAATGCATATATTTGCACTCCTCCCATCTCTCTAACTTTTGTGAAAGAAGAAAACGCATCAACGAAGCGACTAGTACACACCCTTGTTTGAGAGGTGATTGGCCATCGGATTATTTTAATCATTGACAAAGTGACCAGTAAGCGCCCCGGATTATACAGTAATTAGTGCTTGCGTTGTTGTTTATTGTAATACATTAATAAATGATGCAACCAGTAAGCGCCTTCGGTTGTGAAATTTTTTAACTATTAAAAAAACCAGGAAGCGACCTGGTGGTATGATAAGTGGCCCTTGTTTTAATTTATTAATTGACAAAGCGACCGGTAAGTGCCTCGGGTTGTGCAGTGATTGGTGCTCACATTATTGTTTATTGTAAGCTATTAATGAATAAAGCGACCAGAAAGCGATCCGGCTTTTTTGGACACTGGCGCTTGCGTTTTTGTTCGTTGAAAGTTATTAATAATTGCAACGACAAGAAATCGCTTGGAGTTTTGTGGTGATTGGCGCTTGCGGTATTAAATAAAATTTATTAATTTCTCTAGCAACCAATAAGCGCCCCAGGTTATGTGGTTAATATAGTACGGTGATTGGCGCTTGCCTTATTGTTTATTGTAATAAATTAATTATTACAGCGACTAGAAAACGCTCTTAGTTATGTGGTGGTTGACTCTTATGTGATTTTTTTAATTGAAACAGCGACCAGTAAGCACCTTCAGTTGTGCAGTGATTGGTGCTTGCGTTATTATTCATTGAAATTCATTGATCATCACATCAACCAGAAACCGCTCTAGGTTGTTTAGTGATTGGCGCTTGTGTTATTTAAATGATTCACAAAGCAAACATAAAGTNCAACACAAAATTAAAACTACCAAATTAATGTTTTTTGATCAGTTACTTTCACTTTAATGATTTATTTAGTATATAAATGTAGTATATACATGTCATATTACAAAAATAAACTATGAAATCTTTTATTTAATCGAATTATGCCTATCACAATTATAATAGTTATTGATAATAACCTGATTTATTTTGCACTTACGGATATAAACATTAGGATTTTTAAAATGATCTTTATAGGATCCATGATTCGAATTTAAA